CATAAGAGACTCTTAAAAACTGAGAATAAACTGAGGGTTGATGGAAGGGGGGAGGGGAAGGTGGGTGATGGGCATTGAGGAGGGCAGCTGTTGGGATGAGCCCTGGGTGTTGTATGGAAACCAATTTGACAATAAATTTCATATTAAAAAATATATAAGAAGGTCCACAGACAGTGGCAGCTGGATGGCTCAGTCTATTAAGTGTCCAACTTCAGCTTAAGTCATGATTTCATGGTTGGTGAGTTCAAGCCCCACATCGGGCTCTCTGCTATCAGCACAGAGCATGCTTTGGAACCTCTGTCCCTCTCTCTCTCTCTCTCTCTGTATCCTCCCTCCCACACTCATGCTCTCTCTCTCTCAAAAATAAAATAAGCATTTAAAAAAAAAAAAAAAAAAAAAAATGAAGGTCATCCATAGACAGTTATAGCTAAACTAAGAGAGGTCTAAGCTAACAAGATACCAGAATCTCAACATGGCTTCAGTTCTAAACACTAAATTAATATTCCAAACATGAGCAGTTTTTAAAGGAATATACCTTGATCATAAATATCAAAACATACTTTTTGTCATTCTTAAATACCTTATATTTAATATCCTATTCCTATCTGTTAAGTACTGTTATTTCCATTATTTCATTTGATTCTGTTATACTGTAATGTTCATAGACCCTTTGAGGGCACCTTGGTGGTTTAGTCAGTTAAGCGTCCGAATCTTCATTTTGGCTCAGGTCATGATCTCACGGTTTGTGGTATTGACCCCCACATCAGACTCCATGCTGACAGCTCAGGAGCCTGGTTGGGATTCTCTCTCTTCTTATCTTTCTCTCTGCCCCTCCCCTCTTGCACACACTCTCTCTGATAAGAAATAAAAAAGAATTTAATATCCTTTCAGTTGTGAACTCCTTGATATCAAAACCCTATCTCATTCATCTTTGTAGTCCTAGAATCCAGCACTGTAGGATGTGTGTTAACATTTTGATGATTGAACCAGATGACTTACTCAGTGTTACAGAGCTAATCAATGCTATGCCTAGAACTCAATCCCAGGTCTTCTCAACATAATCCCTGAAAACTTAAATCTACATAGATTTTTATAATATGGTCACAAAGGAAATTGTTGCACCTGAAATGTTGTCTACAAGGAAATAGTCCCTTAGTTAACCAGTGGTGGGTAGGATTTGGATAGGAAAGGGCAGTAAAGAGTAGTCCATGCAGGATAAAATGCCTTGAACCACAACACAGAGATAAGAAAGTAGGAGACGTGTTCTTCTACAAGAAATAGAAGTAACTGGGGGTGCCTGGGTGGCTCAGTCAGTTAAGTGTCCGACTTTGGCTCAGGTCATGATCTCACAGTTTGTGAGTTCAAGCCCCGCGTCGGGCTCTGTGCTGAAAGCTCAGAGCTTGGAGCCTGCTTTGGATTCTGTGTCTCCCCCTCTCTCTACTCCTCCCCTGCTCATGCTCTGTGTCTTTCTGTGTCTCAATAATAAATAAACATTAAAAAAAATTAAAAAAAAAAAGAAATAGAAGTAACTGACTGGAATAGAGGATCAGGAATATACCATTAGAAAGGGAAAATGGGGCTAAGCTGTCAATGCCAAGCTAATGAAAAACTCGGTATCTCTGTGGCAACCTGAATTGAATCAAAATGTAGTTGGAAACTATTTCATGATTTGGTATCTGTTTTAGAAAATTCTGAGGATGTACAGTGTTCAGTTGAATTGTTTTTTTTTTCCCTTACCAAATGGGTTTAGTAACTTAAATTTGATCAGTAGGCTTACAGTTTGCTTTATCTGAAGGTTAACTCCCAACTCTGATGGAAGTTTGTTAAAAATGTTTTAGTAGAGGGGCGCCTGGGTAGCTCAGTTGGGTAATCTTCTGACTTCAGCTCAGGTCACAATCTCATGGTCCGTGAGTTCGAGCCCTGTGTTGGGATCTGTGTTAACAGCTCAGAGCCTGGAGCCTGCTTCAGATTCTGTGTCTCCCTCTGTCTCTGCCCCTACCCCACTCGTGCTCTGTCTCTCTCTCTCTCAAAAGTAAATAATAAACATTAAAAAAATTGTTTTTAATGTTTTAGTAGACATTAATGATGTTGATTATCCCATTTTTCAGGTTGTTATTCCCTATAATCACTTTCCCAGTTTCTTTTTCTTTGTCTTCAGCGTTATTCATTGGTCATTACAAACCCTCAATATGTTCTTCTAAGACATGTCTTACTACACAGAATACAAACTATGTTACTTCTGCCTTTGTAAAGTTATTCATACTTGTAGCTCAAGACTACAAATGATGCCTAACATCATATTGGGCATATGGTTGACACTGGGTGGATGTTGATTAGATTTAAAATTGAATTACATTTGTGCTAGCAGAATCCCAAAGGATTCTTCTGATTCTTTTGCAGTTGATTGAGGTCATTGGTTCAAATCCAAGTCATGAGGTATAAAAGATACAAGAGGTATAACATTAATGCCTCCAAAGATGAAAGCTTTGATTCTGAGAACATCTTGTCCTCACCTGGTTGGCCATTTAAGTAGGTAAAACTAGGATTAACACAAGGCAAACATGTAAGGCAGTGTTCCTGTTATATTCTATTAAATTCTTGATATTGTATCTTCTTTCCGTAAGCCCCATCCAACAACCTTACAGTTTTAAGCACCTAGTGCCTCTGTGTTCTCACCTTGCTTTTACTTCTTTTTACTTAAGCCGGATTAGTGGCAAAGATTGTTACAACAATCAGTTATACTTGAAATTTTTCAATGTGTCACCATCTTCTTTTGGGATCATTTCTAGAAGCAGAAGTGAGAGAGTGTCAGTGAAGAATGAGACAGAAGGAGAAAAGCCTGTAAAGGTTTCACTACCGAGCTGGTTCCCACTGTCGTCAGCTGGGGTTTAATTCCACTGGGGACTGAGGAAATGAGCAGAATGCGTCAGAATTTTCTAGCAAAGTCTGGGAGACTGGGGTGTCTATCATGCATTGGTTGAAGTTGCCCCAGTGTCCTTAATTCACCCATACTTCCAAACTGCCTTAGCTTGCTTGCTGTGAGACACTAGCAGGCATGGAACTTAACATAGCTCCTTGAAATTGAGTGGGCAAAAGGGGTATGGTGTGGACTTCCGTAAACGTCCACTGCAGGCACCTCTCTTGGGGAATTTACATTAGGCCTTGTCTCCAAATGGAAGAGAAATATTCTTAGGTTTTATCAGTTCATCAGGTGCTTCTTACTCGACCTAGCAATTCAAGGAACCAGATATTTTGTGACTCATCCAATAATGGCAGCAAAATATATTTGTAATTGTTTCTCTCAATATATTACCTGGTTTGATCTTTAAGAAAAGCATGTGCAAAGTAAATATAAT